AGGGATTACCATCTCTGCGGAGACTCCGACTAAAATTTTAATACGTATTATGGAAAGGAGAGGCACACAGAAAGAGTACTTGGTGACGAAGGGGGAGCTCTCTCTCTTTTAATATTTTAGTAAAGTAATATTTCTTTTCACGCCCTTGACTTTTCGACGTCGTGATTGCAAAAGCATCCGCCCAACGAAAATGTCATCGCCGTCGCTTCCTGCCGCTTCCTGCCCTCACCTGTGGCGCTGCGCTGGCGCACACGCCGAGCCACCTGCCGCCTGCCCTTCTGCCGCCCGGCTCCAACACTTCCCTTAATCACACGGTGCGGAGCGTGGAGCTGTGTGGCGCGCCAAAACTTCTTTTCTTTCTTGTTGTGTAGGGGAAAGGGGGACGCGAGGGCTGGCTTCACTTTCACCTTTGCGTGTTCGAGTTGAAGTGGCCCGCCCACCGCACCAATCGTATAGATCTTCCTGCGTGAGTTGTTCCACCCTAACACTTGCGCGTCAAGGGCGGTCAAGGGCGCGTCCGTAGGGAGGTACCCACCTTACCCCACCTGTCCCGCCCCTCCCGTCCCGTCCCACAAGCCACCCGCCCAACCCCGCCCACCCGTCGTCCTATACCGCATCTCCCTTTTTTTTCGAGCCCTTCAGCAGCAGCGCATCGTCACGAGACAAATATTGCCCCTCTGTGTGGTGAGACGCCTCCGTCCCGCGGCTAATGTGCGTCGGCCTGCGCGGGGTGTCGTGTTCGCAACGGGGCCTTGGGCTGCAAATGAAGAGGGGCGAGGCGGGGGCGGACGGAGGGGCGGCGCGGAGACGCGAGGTCGCCCTTACCTTCTCCCCCTCCTCTCCCTCCTCCCCCTCCTCTCCCTCCTCCCCCTCGGCGCCATTAGAGTTATTAACTCTACCCCCCTTCCCCTATCCCTCCACACCCCCTCTGTCCGCGGACACACCATACCTTTGAGTAAAGCTGCTTTTGCAGCGTCCAGGTGGTACGCTATCCAATAATTTTTATTATCTTTCATTTTCGCTGTATCCAGACAAGACGGATACCTTGTCGTCCCGTACCATCTGGTGCATATATGGCTACGGCTACCTTGGCCACTGCAGTGAATGTTTTTTTACGAGTTTAGTGTAATTTAAATGCGGAAGTGACCTCTTTTTCTAATTCCAAGTTTTTCATAATTAGGATACAAATAATTGCTCTGCAATTGTAAAAGATTTCGTACTTTGCTTCGCAACCGTAACTACTACTGTGCCTTGTCACTAGCACTGAGAAACAAATTTTTTCCGGCTTTCTCCGCGAGCAACTCTGACCGCGCCGCCGCATAGCGCTTTCGGGCCATTTCGGAGAACAGCTCGTTACATTAGTTCAAGGCCCCCTTGAACTCTACGTTCAGCACACACTGCGTAGAAAATAACAAAGAAAAAAAAGCGGGGAGTCTCGAAGGGAGACGCAGCCTCCGAACGACAAAGTCCGATCTACGGCGGTCCGAACTGCCGCAGATCGGAGCTTCTGAAACCGGACCAGCGGACCAACGGACCACCACGCACAGATCGAACTTTCTGTAACCGGACCGCAACACACCCAGAAAATGGTTTCTTTTATTCAAGGGAATTTAGACCTCAAATGAGGATGAGGAAACATAT